TCCCCCCACCCCAAACTTAATCCAGCTGCCTTGGTGCATTTTCTCAGGACCTCTTAAGACTGCTCCCTGGGCCATAGTAGCACATACTCAGCTCAAAATAAACCTCGTTAAATTATTTTAGAGAGTCTGGGCTTTTTTCTATTAACACCAGCAAAGACAGTCCTTTAAATGTAGCCAAGAAACAGTACTTACCTGCAAAAAATTTCTGAAGAAACTAATCTTACCCAACTTTCAAAACCTGGCAGAGAAAACATATCTGACTGGAGCCCACGTAAAAGCAAACATTTTAAATCTTACCCTTTCTCATTCAGTAGCGTCTCCATTTCTGTAACGTAGCACTCATCACAAATGGCGAGATACTCCATCACCAGTTTTGCATCTTTCTTATATGCCTTACCAACTGCTCCCTTATTGGGTTCAAACTGAACAACATTGACTGTTTTGTAGGAAATAGTCAAGGAATCCAAAAATACAGCACTGTCTCAGCATTTCAGAAAATGATCTTGAGAACAATCAACTTAAAACAACCCCAGTTCTCCATTAGTACCCCAAATCCTGTTCATGCTGATTTCAAGTGTAAGATGAAACAACTATCCACAAAATCATTCCGACAAACCTCACTCACAAATAAGTCAACTCCATCAATAAAGACCTTTTCAGTTACAACGAGATAAAAAGGATATCACCTAATCAGCAACATGACCCCATCCACAGCATAAAAACTTCTGGTAACAATTTATTTATTTCTAAAATGTCCAGCAAGATCTATTTCCTGTCACTGGCCTGGTAAAGAAAGAAAATTTCTACTTTGCTGATTTTCAGATCAAGTGAGCTATTGTTTCATCTACCATAAAATGGCACTCATTTTCAAACAAAATGTATTTACCAGGTACCCTTATGTAAAGAGCACGTGGGTAGGTGCAGGTGTGGAAATATGTATTTTTGGAAACAGCTGAGAAAAACTGGTCAACCCTCTGAAAAACATTCAAAGCATTTTTCTGAATACGCTTCTTTTAAGGGCCAAACACTGAGTGGGCACAGGTCAGATTATAAGCATAAACAACAGGAAAGAAGCAATGAGATGGGCAAAATAAGAGGTTTAAACAAGTGTTACCACAGTATCCAAAACATCTCAATTTACCCACAGAACAAGGTATAGACTTGAACTTATGCATTAGCAAGATGTTTACACTTTAGTCCTGAGCTTTGGAGTGACCAGAAAGGATATGGGCTCTTTCAGAGGTTTCTCAGCTACAAGCGGGACTTTGGTGGCTCGTGCATGACAAGAGAGGTCATAACAGGAACGATCAGCACATCCAACAATCTCAATCCAGCCCTAAGAACACATGATCAATAAAAACATCATTACTTACATTGGGTTTGTTCGCAAATGCATGCAGACTATCACAAACCCTCTCGTATATTCGAGCCTATAAATATTTGAAATGGTAATAGTATCATATATCAGGCAGCTAACAAGCTTGTAAAATACATTTCATACTGTACACAAAGTAGCAGTCTTATCTTCTGGATGGATTTATACTGCCACATTGTAACTGTGGGATAAATGAATATATTCTAGAATTTAATTATGGAAATTAAACATGAACCTAGACAAAGCCTGTAGATTTTGTTCAAATTTACAACAAAGACTCCAACTGAATTTGGCAGAAACCACTATACTTTTTGGCCTACTATTCTCACAACTTGCCATCAGATGGCTGATTAAACACATACTTCAGCTGGACATGATGTGGGCATTTGTACTCAATTCACTTGCTTTATGGACAAAAGAAAGCTCAGTAAAGAACAGGTAAAGTTTAGGTCACAGAATAAAATTAAATAACAGCATTACAATCACATCACTGCCAGGTTCCATTTCTTGTTAATACACACATAAAATACTCTTAAAAAGCAAAATTTTAAATTATTTTCAAAGAACCGGCAATGAACTGAAAACGTGTCCCTTCCAAAATTCAAATGTTGAAATCCTAACTCCCAATGTGACGGTATTAGGAGGAGGGGTTTTGGGGAGGTGATTAGGTCATAAAGGTGGAGGTTTAATATGAGCCCTCATAAAAGGGACACCAGAGTGCCCTCTTTCACCACGTGAGGACACAAGAAGATGGCAACACGCAACTCAAAAGAGAGCCCTCACCAGAACCAGACCATGCTGGCACCCTGACCTATGACTTCCAGCTCCCAGAACGGCAAGAAGTAAATGTCTGTTGTTTATAGGCCACCCAGTATGTGGTATTTCACTATTGTAACCCCTTAAGAACCCATTTTTTAATAAGAACAAAAGAGCTGTAAAAGGTTTATTTTAGTAGATATCTAGTTAGTCCTTCTCATGAATATTTATTTTTATGCCTTTGATCCAAAGCTTGGGAAAATTTGACCATCAAAACTACTAAGCTGGCCAGGCGTGGTTCACACCTGTAATCCTAGCACTCTGGGAGGCCATGGAGGGAGGATCGCTTGAGCTCAGGAGTTCGAGATCAGCCTGAACAAGACTAAGACCCGTCTCTACCAAAAATAGAAAAATTAGCTGGGCTCATGGTGCACACCTATAGTCCCAGCCACTAGGGAGGCTGAGGCAAGAGGATCGCTTGAGCCCGTGAGTTTGAGGTTGCTGTGAGCTACAATGACGTCACTGCACTCTACCCAGGGTGATAGAGCGAGACTGTCTCAAAAAATAAAAACTATTAACTCTCCCAGCACATGTTATCACATGGGACACTGGTAACAAAGATAGCAGATATTAAAACTCCCATGATAAGCTCAGGAACCTCAACCCAAAACAAAAAAGGAATTAAAGAAAATACGAAAACTTGAAAACATCTAATTTGGTAATCTGACATTCACTAAACATGCCAACTAACATATTTATGTACTAAAAGGTAAAATTACAAAAGCATGCCTGAGAATGATAACTTTGGATCAGTGGTTACTTCTCTGGAGGGAGAAGGAATTGGTATGGCATTAACTACAACAGTGACTTGTTTTATTAATAAAATAAAACATGAAGTACACAAACAGGAAGTATTAAAGTTTGTAAAGAAGTTCTCCGCTCTCTTCCAAAGTTTCTGTTACTCTGGAACTTCCGGTTTTGTTCACCACTGTTTTCCAATGACCTCACACAAGTGGTGTAGCCTAATCTCAATGTTAGGCCCATGTTTCCTGATCCTCAGCCCTCACAGTGGCACCCAGTTAAAGACTGGCAGGCACGGAGCAGGGTTTACAAAGCAGTACAGCGTAAGGGTTAAGAGCACGGGCCCTGAGGCAGACAGCCGGGTTCAGATCTCAGCTTCACCACTTACTAGGTGTGAGATTTGAGCAAATTACTTAACCACTTGGTACTTCAGTTTCCTTAGAAATAATACTTATAAACACAATTATTGTGAAGACCTCACAAGATAATACATGTGAAACACTGAAGATGGGACCTGGCCTGTAACAATGACAAATGTAGAATGAACAAACAAATGAAATAAATGAAAGGTAAGACAGGTCAGATTCAGAATCTAAACCGAGACAGCAAGAATACCCGGTTTAACCTGAAATTAGGGGTAGAGCAAACTAAAAGATGAAACTGGTATGGAACGAAAAAAAATGAAATGAACTTTTCTCATACAAAGGGAAAACATCTTATTGGTTTGATCTGAAAATAAAAAGAAATTTCAGAAAATCTAAAAAGTGAAAAGAAATTAATGATCACCCATAATCCTAAAATAATTACTGTTCTATTGACATATATCAAGCAAGCTTGCTAAGAAAATAAAGTGATAAGAAAAATTCAACAGATTATAGTAATTCTTTCTCAATTTCACAAAGGAAAAAGAATATACTAAAAACATTATTAATAGTTACTTATGGGCATATGCGTATCATTATGCATTTATGTACATGTATATGTTTGTAACGTACAGAAAAATAATTTAGAGTGGGTGGATACACCAAGGACCACAGGAATAAGGATGGTTTTTACATTTTTTAAAGAGCTATAAAAAACAACAACAAAGAGGATATGAGACAGAGACCCTACATGACCCACAGCTGAAAATATTTACCATTTGGCCCTTTATAGAAAATGTTTGCCAATCTTTAATATAGAGAAGAGACATAAACACTTTTGGGGAGAGGCATGCAATTTAAAGTTTTACTTTCTACAAAATGTTCTTCAGAATTACTTTATCCTTTCTGTTTTACAAAAAGTAATCATTACTTTTTTAATATGAATGATTTTTATTTTTAATTAAAAAAAAATGAATCCGGGCAAAGAAAACCACTTTAAAAAGTAAAAACTAAAACCAAGGGTATATGGAAACCAATGACCCCGGGCTAAAGTGAAGCCTTTTCTATGCAGGTAAGGAAGCCTCTGTAAGGTAAGGGAAATGCCAAAAGGCTCTCAACCCCTTGTGTTAGATGCCACCTTTACCACTGCCACCAACACAGAAAGCACTTCCTATATCCAAATGCCTTTCATTCCTGAGCTTCAGTACTAATGTTCACGCTGTGGGGGTGGAAGTTAGGAGGGTACCTGGAGATCTTCTCTGAGTTTTTATTAAATACACAGAATTTGAGAAAGATAGTTCTTAAAAAGAGATCAGAATATACCAGTATATCCCCCAAATCTACCAAATAGCACTCTAAGTTGAGAGCACCATGAGTCTGTTTCTTTCTTTCTTTCTTTTTTTTTCCTAAAGATGAGGTCTCGCTATGTTGCCCAAGCTGACCTTGAACTCCTGAGCTCGTGATCCTCCCACCTCAGCCTCCTGAGTAGCTGGGACTCCAGGCACGTGCCGCCGCATAGTGCTTAAGAGCACTATGACTTTCTTTGCTCAACCCCACTACCATTTCCAACATTTGCTGGGATCCTTATCAGGAAGAAGGCCACCCTGTCTTAGCTCCACTCAAGGATATTATCAGTAACATCGCCCATCCAGCAACATATACCTCAGCACTGCCCCATCATCAACCTTCTCTCTCCATCTCTCCCTCTCCCGAAGAAGCTAAGTCTACAAAAGTCTCCTAAATGCAAAAAGCCATTGCCCTCCTTACAAGGCAGGGGGTGACGGCTTTTTGCATTTTGCTCAGGGAAAGATCTTTCTTTTCTCTTTGTTCCACCCTGACAAAGTGCACAAAAGTCAATTTTGACATCTACTCTTGTAAGTTAGCAATGTGCAAACCACACAGCAAAAACCATGCCATTCTACTTACATAGGATGTTTTGGATTCAGCATCCCAACAGTCACAGGCATAATGGGCCATCTCGTTCTCCATGTGCTGTCGGAAGCGGAGTTTATCTGGAGATACTCCAACCTTCACAAGGTAGAGGTAGATGCGGCCAATGAAATAGCCTAATACTGAGTTGTTAATCACACCCTAAATAAATAAATGAATGAATAAATGAATAAATAAACAAATAAGCAAGCAAGCATAGAGGAAGGAAACACACATTAATGCTTCTGAAGGCCAAATACCATTTGCCATTGAGTTATTCATAATCTACTGAAAAATATTTGAAACAAAGTAAACTATTTTAGCCTGTTTTAGAACAATGTCAAATACCCAGAATGTGATCTTTATTTTTAAAGGGGTAATGTCACATTAAGAAGGTGATAATGGAGTTATTAAAAATCTGTCTGACATGCTTACTAGGCCAGCAAAAATTCAGTCCAATACCTCATATCTTCTAAATCTACAGTACTAAAAATGATATTCATAATAATGACTCTAAAGAATGGCAAAGATATCCCCTTCTCAATTAACAAAAGTAATGAGACATGTTGAGGGGATTTTAACGCATTCTTATCTACTAATACATGTACTCTTACCACTTTAGTACTGGAAGGACCTCAGAAATCATCTAGCCCCATCCCCCACCCACTGCAGGGGTCTTCTCTGCAAAACAGCAGACAAGTTATTGTCTAGCCTCTCCTGGAATATTCAGCGCCAAGAAGCTCACTACTCACAAAGGCAACTCATTCCACTACTGGGCAGCAGCTACTGTTAGAAATATTTTACTCACTCATTTCTCCAGGCAAATATTTAGAGAAATTCTGTTGTATACAAGGCCTTATCCCAACTGCTATGGGAAATACAGAAGAGTCTAAAATCCAGAGGGCTTGGTTTCTGTGAGTCAAATTCTGTCTCCCCCAAAGTCATATGGTAAAGCACAGTTCAAACCAAGATCTATTTTCCAAGTGCTCTGCTAAACCTTTTTTTCATGCTAGCCCCAATGGCCCAGAAATTAGGATGTTCAGGTGACCTTCTTCCACTACAATAACACTGTATAATAAATTCTTTATAAAAACAAGTACTGTATAAAAAGGAAAATGACTTCCAAAATAATTTTGTCATCCAGTGTACCCAAAATTTGCTAAGTGCTGCAAACCCTGAATAAGCACATCTAAATAAGTTACCTCCAGAATCTTACCTGTTCAACAGCATCTCCTAGGCGCATTTTCCTAGCAGACTGTCCGCTGACCTGGGCTTTTGCTGAATACAAATAAAGGTGGAGGTCTGCCACATTCTGGAACTTGGGATGGTCTTTCTCACTGGGATCTACAAAGTGCTCAATTTCTGCCATTGTGAATTCTCTGAAAA